ATCAGACAATTTCCAAAGGAGAAGGTGGCTAGTAAAACCATGGTGGACTCAAGGAACTACGTATCCTTCTGTTGCCTTCTCGTCGCCTGAAATGTTTGACAGTACTGTAACACGAAAAAGAATTCAAATTCCCAGTGCTTTTTGGGTTGAACGAGTCGTAGCCGACGGGAAGTATTTGGTCTGTCCGACGGGGAGATAACTCTCTTGACGCCGATGCGTGTTTATATGTGAACACGGATTGTGTTAATGTAAGTGATTTGTATTGATTACTGTAGCCAAATTTATATAATTGACGCTAGTTCAAGAAATCTACTTTAAAGCGTGCAATGGTCGAGGTTATGCGTTTTTATTATTAACAATAATGACATAACTGAACAATACCACACGTGCAACCACGAAGCTAATACCATTTAAGAAATACTAAATGTACATTGTTGTTACTATCACTACATTATTCACATAGGGAATATAACGAAGTAAATTAAAGTGCATTTTGTCGGAGACGAACGTGGTCGAGAATCGAACCCCAATATTTTAATTCAAATAGAAGTCTATAAACCTATAGCAGAGCAGCGTGATTTACTCCGCCTCCATATTATGTATCAATAACCTATAATGCAAACACAGAGGGCCTCAAAAAACGTATGGGATTTGAAACCTTCCGTTCTGAAAAATGTAACAACATAGATCATCGAAGTCGCCATCGTAAAAGTGAATACAATTTCAGCTAATTTAGGGAAAAATAATGACCTTTATGTCGTTTTTCACTGGATCTTTAGCTGTTCCGACCACATGGCACTGTTCACGTACTGTAACGCCAGTAAATTTCAAACACACTCGATTTTCAAGCATACTCGGTTTTTAGATACAGTCTGTTAACAAACTTGATCGATTTTTGTCATCTCATTTTAGTGGTTTCTAAAAATGTTTATGTTATGAATAATGATATAATACTGCTATAAAAACCTGTACCTGAACATAACGCTAATTGTATAAGTCCATGAAGCATACTTTGTAAATCATTTTATACAACATGACTTTACTCCTGCATTTTTGACATTACGTAAAGAAAATAACTGAGTGAGATAACATGCAACGTGCAAAATATCTTCTTTTAATGGTCATATTGTTCCTTTTATCGAAACTAATCGCGGCGTTTACATAAGAGGAACGCATCCTCTAGTAGTGTAAGACTTACCCTTCTTAATGCAATGGATGTATGGTACCCGGGAGATACGAAGTAGCCTTCGTCTTCAGGAAATGGCATCTTGTTTTGGTCATGTATAACAACCCGTACCCCTGCACTCGTCGAAACATCGAACAAATATTCATGTTGCTCGATAAACAGCATTATACTTAGTCCTAATATGTAATACGCAAAAAAAAATGCTTGATGATCGCATGGTGATTTCAAGCTTCAGTGTATCTTATACACACACACACACCCACACACACACACACACACACACATACCCACCCAAGCACACCACCACACATTATTATTATTATTATTATTATTATTATGGTTGTTATTGTTTTTGCTGTTGTTATAGTTATTGTTTTAGTTGATAGTAGTAGTAGTAGTACGGTAGTAGTGGTAGTGTAGCAGTTATTTTCCTCTTTGAACCCACTAAATTAAAAGATATCAATAATTATCGACAGTGTATTTTTATATATTCATCCATTAATTTGTTAAACCCACCTCAATTTTCTAATTCCTTTTGACCAAACTCATCCTTCCGAAGTTATAGTACTAGTACTGTCTATGATATGCATACCCTCAATAAAAAATATCTTTTCAATATAATATAGGATTTAGTGGACCCATACTATGGAATAGCTTACCATTATATGTAAAAGAATCTGTCTCCAAGAAAAGCTTCCCAGTTCAACTTTAAAAATATTTTATATCTACTTACTAGATTTAATTTTAAGATATTCTTACCCGTGTCAGACGACGTTTCTTGTAATTAACTTTGTACTTTTTATTATTTTTTAAAGTGCTTATATTTACTAATTTATTTATTTATTTTCTTTATTTTATTTGTTATTGTTTATTTATTATTTATTTTATTTTTTTGTCATATTGCCAAGGCATGCCTGCTACAAGCTTTGCTTTTTTGGCTATGTCTTCTTCAAATCATCTACCTTGTTTTAGTTTGTACTGTTTTTTTCAACTTGAAGAAAATAAATGTTACATTTATTGATTGATTGATTAAACAATAAAAACAGTAAACAATTCTGGGCAAAATAAAAAGACAAAAAAAGAAAACTTAACAACTGATATACCTATAGACAAGTGGCACAAACATTTTAAATCTTTATTCGAACCCCCGCAAGAATACCAAACTATTCATGAGATGGGAAATATCCTCGTATTCGAAGATGAAGGTTATAATCTAGATTTTAATATAGACGAAATAAAACAAGCACTAAAATTACAAAAGACAGGAAAATCTCCTGGAATAAATGGAATGATGATAGAGTTCCGGTAAATTAACAATGCTCCATATTTTGTTTTTGATCAATTAACCCTTTTGTTTAACTTAGCATTTCAAATTGGACAATTTCTAGCACAATGGGCTACAAGCATTATTTCAAAAAAGTCCAATATTCAAAAAAGGTGATAGAAAAAAAACCAGAAAACTATAGCGGTTTATCATTAATTCCGATCATAGGTAAAGTCTTTATGAATATCCTTAATGCCAGATTGACGAAATTTGTAGAACATAATAATATTATATTTCAAGAGCAAGGATTCCGAAAGGTATTGTGTAAACTTATAAATATTTTTATTTTAAATAGTGTTATTTCGAAATATTTAAGTAAAAAAAGAGGAAGATTATTTTGTTGCTTCGTTGATTTGAAGCGCGCATTTGACAGTATTAATCATGATTTTCTTTTAGTTACGTTAAAAAGAATAGGAGTGAATGGTAAGTTGTATGACATTATTAAGTCCATGTATAAGCAACTAACAGCTCATGTAAAAGTAAACGATACGTTAACACTACCATTTAAATGCTCTATCGGAATACAACAAGGAACACCTTTATCTGCTTTACTTTTTAACATTTTTATGAATGATCTAAGTTATGACCTTAATCAAATCGAATATAATGGCAAAATTAAAATTGAAGACTATTATTTAAATCATCTTCTTTATGTTGATGTTCTTTATGATTTGCTTTTAATTAGCGATACAGTAAAGGGACTTCAAAAATTGTTAAATAAACTTGAATATTTATGTGATTTGTGGGGTCGAACGGTAATATAAATAACAAATAATGGTATTTAAAGAAGGAGGCAAACTAAAAAAATTTTAAAAACACTCAAATGGAAGTTGTTACGTCATATGTTTACTTAGGTGTTGTTTTCAGTTCAAATGGCCTGTGGAATAATACTGTGCAGCATAACTGTCAAAAAGCAAATAATGCATTTTTTTCTCTTTGTTTACAGCAATACTAATTACCTTACTCTTGGTAAATTTTCCGTTCACATTGATTGTTTAATGTCCATTATTCGTTATTGGTTGAAAATTATTGAAAGTGAGGGCAATAAATTTATTTTTAAATGTTATAATTTTAAGAAAAGTTGACAGGGATGAGCCCTGCTGGGCTGGCCATGTAAAAGAATTACTTTTCTCCCCTGGATTCGGTTATGTATGGATTAATCAGAAAATTTAAAATAAAAAAATATTTCTTAAAGAATTTAGATTGAGACTAACTGATACGGAAAAGCAAAATACTTTGAACAATTTCATTTATATTCCAAACTCAGATATTTTAAGTTATTTAAAACAAAAATTGAAATTAGGCGTCATTTATTATGTATTAAAGATTAAAAAAAAAGACAACTAGTTACTAAGTTCCGTTTAGAAGTTCTTAACCTAGAAATTGAGAAAGGCAGATGGAACAAGATCCCTATTGAAAATCGTGTATGCAAGTTATGCAAATTAAGTTCAGTTGAAGATGAATATCATTTTCTTTTAATTTGTCCTTATTATAAAAATCTTAGAAATACATATTTACCCAAATTTTATTATACTTTCCCAATACAAATAAATTTTAATTACTGATGTGTAATGCTAGCCTAATAAATGAAGTTTTGAAATATATATATTTAAGTTATATAAGAAGAAGAACTAATTGTTTGGCAACACAAACTGATAAATGATATCTAACAAATATAAGGGCATGAGGCCTGTATATAAATTGAAATAAAGTCCTCGATAGAGGAATAAATGAATGATTGATTGATTGAGTAAGAGTGCTAGTATAGTAGTATTAGTAATAAGGTCATGAAATCGATTTGTATTTATCATCATCTTCCCCAATAAATCATACTTAGGTAGAGGTCTGGGATTGCACCAGAGCAAAGGCGGATGGTTGACTTTCAGAGACCGTGCACTGCTTGCCACCACACCTTATTACTACTATATTTATCATTATCTTTTTTTTGTATTAAATCTTTTTTAGTTGTTGTTAAGCGCATAGCGGTAGTTTCTTGCAACATGCGCTATATAAATAGCAATTTATTATTTATTATTATTATATACCGTAGGCAATAACATTGATTAATGCAAGCAAGAGTGGTATCTAAAAACCGAAAGGTCCACTGATTAATCTCAGATAAGAAAGTATAATACATACTCCAAGTATTGAAATACACGCCATCGTGTTGGGATTCAATATTTCGACATTAATTATGTCATCATCAGGAATCAATTCCTGATGATGACATAATTAATGTTGAAATATTGAATCCCAACACGATGGCGTGTATTTCAATACTTGGAGTGGTATCTAATTTTTATAAACATTGCAAAGTCAGAATAGAAATACATTACCTGCACTAGGTCCTGAATACTTGCTTTTCTTTGGTTCACTGCCGTTGGGTTTTGAATTGAAAGTATAGCAGTTGCCATGAAACGCATTAAAGAAATGATTGGTAAAGTTCCTAATTGATGACAAGAATATATATTAAAAATATATTAACACCATTTGGAATAATATGATATTCTACTATTTTAAAGAACAGATAAGTATTGAGTAACTATATATCACTGTTTAAAATTATTATTAAAGTCTATCATAATAATCGATGGTATTCAATTTCAAATTATATGAAGTTACACGTGGACGTTGGAGGTGGAAGAAAGAAAGATTTCGGTCAAACACATAATTTTATGAGTATTAAATTCATCACAAACGCAATAAGTGTCAATCATTTCCAGAGTTGATTCACCTCCTTTGAAGTCTTCATAGGCCTATATTAAGTAAGTAAAAACAACATTTACTTATAAAAATTGACACTGGATTAACTAAAGGAAAATAATTCACAAAGTCTCTATATTATTTGGTATTGGACCTCGACTTTTTTTAAATATATAAATGGAATAAGAAATAGACTTAATAGTCTGTACCGATTTTGTTTAAAGATTAACGGCTTCTAGCTTGGAATATGTAGTTGATTAAGCCTCAGTTAGTTTGTAACTAACGTCTGTCAACTAATGTCTATCAAAATAGCATTTCAAATTAAGTTCTTCAAACACAATAATTCATCGTATCCGTATACTGTGCTGCTGATGTGTAACGTCGCTGGTGTGTTAACGTGTACTGCAGAAGCACACCATATCACTAGCAACCGATAACACATGCTACATAGCTGTATCAAACCATATCAAACTAACATTCAAAGACGGCGATTGACTTATAAAGCAATTAGTATAGCCACATACATCGTACCCTAGGGTAAATTATTATACTTAGGTTAGATAATGCATTCAAAAATTTCCATTCTGGCCTTGCAGGCCTCAGGAAGTCTCTTCAAGCATTACGTAACCTGCGTATACTAATTTTCCGCTAGTGTACTATGGACAGCTCCACTAATTGATTAATAGACAACCTACTGTAAGTTATTTAGGCCTACGGTAAAATGATTAAAGACATAGGCCTATGGAAAGTCAAGAAGGCGCTGGATCGAATCGCAATAACAGATGCATGTTAAGCTTTTTCCACACTATCAATTTGTGTAATGTGCCCATATATGGGCATGATGATGTCGTACTACATCCAAATATGGGCATATCACATTTATTTGTCACTTAAAAATTATAGTGTGGACAGAGCTTTAATGTTTTAAATCAATATTCCAATGTTAAACTCTGTCCACACTATCCCATTTTCTTTGAAAAAAACTGTTGTATGCCCATATAGTCATGATGTACCTATATTTGGTCATGATGTGATGTCATCATGACCATAATTAGGCATGTCACATGTTTTTGTCAAACAAAATGTGTTAGGCTGGAAATGGCTTTACAATAGTAAATCATATCGAACTTACTTAGGTGAACAAAAAAGGCTTGACCATGAACAACTAACAAGCAGGTCTTTAATTTGGTGTCCAAGTTTGTTCTTCTCTTCGTTGCTTTTATTTGATAACAGATTACTTAGTGTCTCCATCTCCTGCCGAGCAACTGTCTCCGTGCCGTATGGATCGGTTTGAGAAAGGAAGTATTCCCAACCCTTATATTCTTCTTTTTCGTCTTGGTTGGGATTCATACCACCACGGTTTGATGGGCTCGTCTCCTTAAATCCATCGCACTATTATAAACATAAACCATTTCAAAAAGGAGGTTTGTTTGTTTTGTTGTACTTTGACTTTAGTTAAATTTCGCCTGTTTGTTGTAGATATTTATAGGCCTATGACTGATGTAATGTTTGATGTTTGAATAGTCCTAAATATTAAGTCGTTAATAATTTATACAACTTGCATAATTTTGTATTAATAGAGTCAATTTTGGAAGAAGATCAGATCGTTGCATCTGTTTTATACTGTTGGTGTATTTTTTTTAAATAAATGATTTATGTATAAGAATTGTGAAATGTAATTCAAATTCACATGTTACACTGTGGTAATACTGTTTATCATAAAAGAACAGATACATCTATATCTGATTTTTGAAAAATCTAAACAAGTTTACCTGATCACTATCTTTTTCCTGATTCGTATCTTTTAAATCTGGATCTTCTCTAAGCAACGATTCTCGAATAGGGTTGATGTTACAAATCGTGACAGCGGGAAACTCTAGTTCGGTCTTGTATTCAACATCAAGCTGAACGTCAACGGGATAAGTTAGATATTTTGCCACCAGTTCTTTGGATTGGTACAGCAATAACGAAACTGCAGCCAGAAACAGTGAAGTCCAGATAATCTTGCCTAATTTCGTCTCGGATCTATATATGTTTGGGATGCCGTGGGCTGTTGTTCTCTCAAAGATGTTGCACATCAAACTTTTAAACGATTTTCCATTTGTTTGGTCAGTGGTTTTAGTGTCTGGACGCTCACCAAACGCGTTTCCATTCTGGCGATCCGTCATTCTCGTGGCTGGCGTGATTCCAGGATATGCGACAATAAACTGCCTTTCCCTTATTTTGTCGAAGCGTACGACTCCCCCACGTCGTCATAGCAAAATGCCGGATCTACGATTGAATCTTTAAGTAATAAAGCAAACACATGAATTAATTTTAAATTTGCATCTTGCAAAAAAACGGAAATATATTGCCACGGCAACATAAAGCGTTATTGTATCATTGCAGTAACATAGTATTAGCCGACATTATAAATATTCACTCATCTGTATATAATTGTGTTAAACCAAGCATTCTGATTGGACAAGCTGTTGTTATTTCTTATAGGTCTTGGCATATCGGTTATTTTTATTGTTTTGTTGATTTTTTTTTTATCACATAGGATTAGTTTATTAATTATAGTGGGCCTATAGTGGACTGAATCTTAGGCCCCCTTAAATAAAGTTCCTCTCTGGCCCGATAGAGTGGTGGACGTATTCGCTTCAAAACAACAAAGTAATTGATTGCTTTCCCTGCCCTGTTCCCAATCAAATCAGTATAGGCTTATTTTATGAATTCTCGATTTGATATATTTTTGACGTCTATCAATTTCACCCACGATGTAAAGCACTTGTAATTATTTGTTCATATTCGCAATTTCCATTAATTCCATTTATTTATAATATAGGCCTAACATTTACATTTATGGTAAAAATTTAGTATTTTCGATGCCCAATAATATAGGCTTTTTTTTGTTCTTATTACCAAAACTTTAAAAGCGTCCAGCGTCGCCAGTTTTGACCGGAAGTGCATGAAATTGTGTACACATAAACTGGTGGTGATTCCATCAAGCGTTCATCGCCTTTTATTTTTTTGAAGTTGGACCCCAGGGTTTCCCATGCACCTACAAAATAAAAGGGGTTTCAAATTTTAAAAGCGTCCAGCGTCGCTAATTTTCAACGGACGTGCATGAACTTTTGTACACATAAACTAGAGGGATTTCCAACAAACGTTCATCGCCCTTTTTTTAAGTTGAACCTCAGGGTTCCCCTACACCTACAAAAAACACAACATGGGTTTCAACCTTTAAAAGCGTCCATCGTCGCCAGCTTTGAACAGACGTGCAGGAAATTTTGTACACATGAACACAGAGGGGATTTCCAACAAACGTTCATCGCCCTTTTTTTAAGTTGAACCTCAGGGTTCCCCTACACCTACAAAAACACAACATGGGTTTCAACCTTTAAAAGCGTCTATCGTCGCCAGCTTTGAACAGACGCGCAGGAAATTTTGTACACATGAACACAGAGGGGATTTCAAACAAACGTTCATCGCCCCTTTTTTAAGTTGGACCCAGGGTTCCCCCTACACCTACAAAACAAAACAGGGTTTTCAGCAATTCAAGAGCTGAATATTACTGCCATTTACCACTAATAGTGCACGTCGCATGACTGGCGTGGTCGGTTTTAAAGATGTGTGCTAAAGAACTAAAGGTTGTGAATTCGAAACGCGAATTCAATTTTAAGAAATTTTATTTTGTTTTAAATTTTAAGTATTTGAATTTTACACAAATGATCATTCTAAATAATGTTTTTTATACTTGTACAAATAAACATTCCTCTAATTGTTTAAAGCCCCATTCCCGGCAAAATTTCAATTTTTAAGAAAAATCTAATTTTTGTATAATGTTATAAAGATTTATAAATATAATACGGAATAGACTAAAATTCATGCCAATATTTTTCCATGATTTATAATAATTGGAGTAATGCAAATGCATATTTTCTAAAAAAAGTCATTTTTAGTGAAATTTTGCCGGGAATGGGGCTTTAAAAAATACTGTTCATTATTGCGATTACCATTAACAGGACACGTCGCATGTATGGCGCGGTCGGTCAACAACTTAAGGTCGTCAGTTCGAAACGCGTCTTGGTAGTAAATATTTTTTCCAATGTATTTATTTATTTTAATTTTGTACAAATGATCATTCTAAATAATGTTTTTTTTTGTACAAATAAACATTCTAATTATTAAAAAAATTTCTATCTTATTAGCTCTTACAAAAAAAACCCCAATATAATAACTTGCGCCTTTACCGTATTTAAGCATGTAGGAATCTCGGACCTGGTGAGCGGTCGCTCTTAATTGTTTAACATAGTATGTTGACATATGCAGTGAAAATCCGAAACACCACGTCGTTGAAAGTGACATGACGTTTCACATAGGCTATGTATATGTCCAATTTGTAGGGATTTATTTTACTCCGACCTCGATTTATTTATGCCTATGATTCTTTAAACTTAATCATATTAATGAAAGTTAACCCATAGTGTAATTAATGACATTTCCCCAATCTTTTTAATTAGATTGATATAATTTTGTATAGGCCTAGATCAGTTTCCTTAACATATCAAAGTTGCTATATTCATCGTTAGGCCTATCAAAAATGTTGATAGACTACTGTCAGATCATTAACAAGAGTTAGTGGAAAAAATGAAAACAATGAAAAAAGAGAAAATAAAGATGGGCTCCACCCACGAAAGACAAAAAAAAAGACTAAAGATCATTGGAAAATGAAAATACTGAATAATGGTTGCTCTCAAAACCAGTGGTGGATTCAGGGGATGGGGAAGCCGGCCCGGGCCCGCCCCCTAAATGGAGAAAAATGAAAATTATATAAAATTTAAGTCTTAGAGTGGCATTTCCGGCTGCCTAGTGGTGCTATAATTAAAAATTGTCCTACCTCAGCCTCACCAAGGTGGGGCTGAGGTAATATCGATCCGCCATCTCCGAGGGTCCTTCCCTGGCTTTTTTACTTCCTGGACTGTCACCGATAAAAAACGTTTTTACTCAGTTCATATTGCGTCTTCAAAATAATTAAGACCTGAAAATATCAAGAATGTCTGAGCGCGAGGGGACCCCAGTAGGGCTATGTACTTAGCCTCCCCCCCCCCCATTTTGGTCCACTTTCCACCCACCCAATAACATCTTGCCTACGGGCCTGTGAATATGCAGTACCTACTTGGCATGGTAGCATTAACAAAAATGAAACATCAACTTGAGCGCATCCAAAACGGGTATGCCGCATTATCCGTGGGGCTGACTTCAAATCATATACAGAATCCATCAACCGGTTGTCACTCCAAACATTGGCTAATCGAAGACTCCATCTTTGTTCCAATTGTGTACAAAAATGTGTTGACTCAAATAGATATTCAAAATGGTTTCCATACAATATAAGTACACACAACATGACGCTTAGGCAACATAAAAAAATACCGTAACAGTGTTCTCCCGAAGCGGTTTTAGCCGTCAATTTTAACGGTAAAAATAACCGGCCAACCAGTAAAAATTTTGAGTTTGTAAAATAAAAAACTACTGATTAGGCCTAGGCCCCTAGGTAGTCTAGGCTGGCCCTCTTTCAATAAATTAACATCATTCCAGTCTATGCCTACTAAGCTATGAATATATGTGTTGTTGTTTCTTGTGGGTAACAGTTTCACTGTTCCCTGTTCTAACCCACTCAAACGGGGTAACGCGTCACACTGCGCGCATTGCTGAATTTTTACTGATAAATTTACCAGTAAACGTTTTTCAATTGGGAGAACACTGACCATACCTCAATAAATAAAACCAATAGATAGGCCTACAACAAAAGTGCAATCCCCTTTCTTATTCGTGTTCTCAATGACAATTAAGATTTTTTTTTTATATCGATGTTAATCCATATCTTTATTCTGGCCAGTTTTTGCGTGCAATACATTTTAGTCGTGTTGCGTTAGTATTAACTTCAAATTCGAATTGAAAATGAAATATGTAATGATGACAATAATAAATAAACTTTAAATGGTCTTTTTGTAAATCTTTGCATTTATATATCTCATGTATTTTTGAAATTTGTGCATTTATATATTTGACTTTATTTGTATATTTGTATATATTTTGTAAAAATGTAAAAATGGTAAAAATTTCCATCATGCAATTCAGCAGTTTTGCTGCCATTTGGATGTTTAATAAAACTTATATTATCTTATCTAATTAGGATGAAGTGTGACTAACTTTGCCCGATATGATTTTTATCTAATTCTTTTTTAGCACCGTTTCTATCAATGTTTCTTTATATAACATTACCGGTATGTGGGTTGGAATATTCGTGTGTGTAGAATATATACGCCTACCATATTGCTACGCTGCAACATCTATTTCATATCTTACTTCATTATACAATTTTATAAGCTTATGAAGTATACACTTATATTGATGTAATACCGTATTTATTCGAATAATCGACCCGTTTGGAATAAACGCCCTCTCAAGGGTCTCATTTGAATAAACGCGTTTATTTTTTTTCCTCGAAGGTGGAGGGCTGAAATGAGACGTTTAAGCCGTCGGCCTCGTGTGCTTTATGACCAATGTGCACGTTAAAGAACAAAGTGCCCTCTTCGAAAAAGAGTAGGGGGTTGTCTCCCGGTGTACTGCCCAATCATCACTAGAAGGACCCCATGGAAATAAGTCTACTTCTAGACTTTTGTGGTGTTTACACCAAAATAAATCTATCTATCTATTTATTATTACTGACAGACACACGTCAAACGGATAGATATAGATATCATGTAAAATACATATCACGTGCTCAATAAAAAAAAAAAAGCTTCACAGGGCTATATTTTTAATATTCTGATCGATATTATTATTATTATTATTATTATTATTATTATTATTATTTGTATTATGGTTAGGCCTATATTGTTATTGCTATTATTATTATTAGCAATAATTATTAATATCATCAACATTATCATTATCATTATGATTTTCATAATCATTATTAAATATTGTAATTATTACTATAATTATTTATAAATAATAATATTACTATATTCTTATAATATTATTTTAATACTAATGTTATTTGGTCTCTGAATACTTACCAAATACTGACATCCTTAAAACTCCTTTCCGTCAATGGCTTATGTAATATCTACACACGCTACCGTCTTACTTCATTCAAATTTATGACTTCATTATTCATCCACCTTTTAAGAAATCAATAACTGGCCTATATAATGAAAATTGTGTAACCACACTCTATATTGACCGCAGTCAAGATACTAATTCATGATATTTATAACATTTGATTAAATATACTGAAGCCAGCACACTTGAACCTTGCGTATTCAATATAATTATTAACCATAGAGGCCTATCCACCTATCGATACCAGTTGAGAACTTGAGCTCTCCCTCGCATAAGAGAAAACATGTTTAAATTCAGTTGTTCATGGGGTTGTTTATAATGGAATTCGAATTCTTAACGAAGCTAGCCTTGTGGATCAGTTCGTTAAGGTATTTGCATTGACAGCACAAGATCCGGGTTAGAATCCCAGTTGAGGAAACTCACTCCTTTTTTAACGTTAAACTTTGACATACGGTATACATAATAATAGAATTATCGCAACGCAAGGCGATTTAGAATTATTCTCTGTATATTGTATATCACAATATATATTTAAAAGTTTCCCTTTGGC